TTTTCGAATTAGTGTGGACGGTAAGCCTAACCGTAGAAATAAAGTTTATAAAGCTGCGTTTTTAAATTTCTCCGGCGTAGTGCGAATGCTGCCTTGGAGTGTAGGTGTTAAGCATTAACCCACCACACCTCCTTCATTAACATCAAATTTCAGATTAATTTTACTACACAAGTACTTAACTGCTCTCTACGTTTTTTAAACCTACAGTGAAAGAACACAATAAAGCAGTGGAAAACCCTGAAGATCAAATTACCAGTGTGCTATGCCCGGGTCTTGGAACAGCAGTTGGTGAGATGCCTCCCAAGAGATGTGCCTTCCAAATGCGACAAGCCTTTGAAATTTGTGCCCTGGGAAGGCAGAGTTCACTGGTAAATCCATCGCATCTGAGCGTTGTCTGGACTCACCATGATACCATGCAAAGCTATTCATAATTAACTGCCAAGAGACAATTTCTCATTGCATGCTTCTGTTTATAATGCGCTAGAAAACAGCCCAAAGAAAATACGCGCACTGATTGGTTTAAAACCGTGTTTTTATACTCGCCAGAAACACAGAACTAGGACGAGTTGTTTTCGTAATGATGGCGAGAGCAAAGAGAATTTACATTTTGATGATTACAGTAAACAAGTTGTTTTTTTCGTTACGGAATTGTTTAAAAGAAATAGAAAACATGTTCTCCGTGTTTCTATCAAGTTTTAGTGTAAATCTACTAGCGTTCTATCACGAATGCCGTTCTTGGATTGGCTACGCTACTCACTATCTATTCTGTCATAGAGAGTGAGTAGCTTGTTAACGAAATGACGGCCACTTCTTTGGTTTTTGAAGTGTCTATGAAGAAGAGGATTTAGATAAAGTTCTGAACGACTAGTAAATTTATACCGCGTGATAGTTGACGAGAGCTGCCCACTATCGCGCATAGGAAATGGAGAGCGAATAATCTAATTGTTAAATAGAAACACGTGTGGAAGTTTGGGAGAACTCGAAAAAGCTCGTTCTCCCAAACTTTCACTCGTGTTTCTATAATTCGATTGAAACGTCGATTGAAACACGGCACATATACGTGTTTCTCGCGTGTCATTGGTCTAAACCAATCACGTGATGCACTCGGCATCTCCCAGTTTCAAAATTCGCGTTTCACTGACACTTACACGTTCATTTGTCGCCCATAATTAAATTTTTTGACTGGAGAGAACGGAGTGTTCGGGACAGACTAGTCTGTGTACCTTGAACTTGAATTCTTGTAATATGCCAAACCACTACAATTTTTTTTAAAATCGCCTAAACGCAGAAGTCTACGTTATGAAGTATCAAAGCATTCAAGAGTAGATTCTGAATTCCTTTGGAGCTGATATTCTACCAGTGTAGTCTCGAACAACTTTTGTTACACGAGTGAAATTTCAGAAACGATCACAGACTGGATAAACACCATAAACGTTAAGTGCGCAATTCTGAGAGAGACAAGTTAGCGTTAATCACGGCAAATGTTTTTAACAACAGAAGCAGGGGCTAATTTAGGGGGGAGGGGGTGGAATGGAGCAAAACTTTTAAACAAAATGAACACAATTGTAAATATTATGAAAGAAATAAAGGCAAACAGTGAGGAAAGATACATGTACCTCATCGTAATTTCTACTTTGTGGCACTGGTATTATTTCTGGTGTAACAGTTTTCAATTAGATCCCAGTTTTCAAATTGCCACACTTTGGGGGTATGCTCCATTGATTCTGCCACCCCAAGACACAAGCCTCCCTCACCCCCATTGAAAAATCCTATATCCGCCACTGAGATGGAGTAGAAGGTTGGAAGAAAATGAAGAAACGATCATTTACGTGTGAGTTTACTCTTTTGGGCTCTTAGAGAAGTTAACTATAACATAACAAGAAAACCCTCAAGGATGTTTGCGGGGGAACCCAACCGAACGTGAAAATTCGTGTCGTGCGGAAAAGATCCAATATTTTTAAGGTGTTTGAGTTTGCAAAAGAGACTATCTCCTACACCCCGACAGGAACAGAGCATCCACCCTTCCCCTATCATGGCAACCAAGTACCCCGTTCTTCGACTCGCGGGAGTTTGGTCAAGGCTCTATGTAAGGTGAACATTCCATCTAGAGGACTGAAATTTTGCACGTGCCAAGGTTACTCACATGTGCATCACACACTACATCAAACTGGACTTTGAGATACTTTCTACACGCACTCAGCTCATAAATCTTATAATAATGTTTGTCCCCAGATATTTAGCAATGGCGTAGACGAAATCTTATAGAAGTGAGCACATTTCACAGTGTCTATTTATTATTGAATTTTCAGTTCACGTCTGACCCCAGTTGTTCGAAGTACGCGGATATAAATGTTGTCCCGTTAAATCACTGTTCTGTGGAATTGAAAAACGAACTAGCTTTGTATTTACTTATCGAGTTGACAGCGTAATCGCTACTTTGAACAGCCCAGATTGAAGGAGACTCGGCTTTCAGGGTACATGTATTCAACTAAGGCCTGAAGTCTAAATGTAGAATTATCCAAGAGCAAATCACGATCTGATTTACCAATGTGCCCGTCCCAGTGCGAAATGAGATTAGCAATAGACGCTGGTTTAGATATTAGGAAACACATCGAGAACGAAACAATAAAGCTTGAATTGTTACTGGTTGGCTGAAAATTTGTTGACAAACGCTGACAAGGCGTCGGCCCTAGTAAACCAGTTTTGTAAACACGACGGGTAGCTAGTCTAGCATAAGAGAAACAACTGCAACAACGAAACATCTCCAGAAACGAAACCGCCGGGCTGTGCAGCATCGTTTGTTATTTCTGAATAAGATCATAATGGGTAAAAGTCAAGAACAGGAAAAAATAAGGTATGATAAGACATCCTGGTGGAATAAATTTGCAGGGAAAAGCAATCGATTACTTGCACTTCGTTGCACGACTGAAAATAATTCGCCCGGCGTCTTGTTCTGTGTATTAAATAAGTAGGCGCGGTTTTTTTTTAGATAATGCCAACCATTCGGACAGTGAATTTGGATTTTGGGAGCGTTCTTTTCTTTAATATATCAATTTGATTTATAATATTTCTCCCTGTAAACTTTTATCAATGAATCGGAAAGGCTAGCTGATGAAACTCAAATTTCTCAGAACTGACCCAAAATTAATGAGAGTGTATCCCGGGGAGTGTATAAATACGGAGAGAGAATGTTGACCCAGCCAACAATATAAAGGACAATAAAGGGCTCATAAGTGTATTTTAGAAGTTTGAAAGTCCTTGGAAGAGAGACTCAGCGATTATAGTCGAATCAAACTCTCTGCCTAAAGGACGGACCAATATTATTTTTGACGAGGGAAGGGGGGAGGGGTAGACAATCTCTTCCCAAAAAATCCTGCACAGCAAAGCCATGGGAAAACAAATCGAGCGAGTGCTTTATAATGTCATTATTTTGATATTTTGATATAAAAATTCTTGAACATGCTATTGCCCACCAAAACAAATCTTGCACAACCTAAAGCTGAGACAAAAAGTTTTCATGAAAAGGCCATATAAAGAACGGGGTTGCAATATTTTGTCTACACATGGTCTACATGAGGACACGCCCCCACCCCCTCCCCTATGAGATCAGGCTCTTCGGAATCTTCAGTCCAGAGGTTTTGCACTGTTCTTTCTAATTTTTTAGAGCGCGCGATATGATTCCTTCTGCTTAGATGATGTCAGCTCGAAAATCCGTTAATTTAGAGGAACTGCTTACCGTCTGTTTTCGGATATGCAAAGTTCCGCTTGTTTTATCAGCCTTACTCGACGAAAACTTTTTCGGATGGCTGTCAAAAAGTTAGGGACTCTTTGCTTTGATACACAACTTTTTCTACAGTTCTTTGACTTTGAAAACTTGTGTCTTCCTTTTACCTTTACCTAGTCTGTTTATATTAACTTTTTTACCATTGTCTATTTTGTAATGCAATCCTCATTTTCTGCGTGACTGTCGTGTGACCAGACAAGTACAAGAGACGGTCTTTTCGTTGGACGGAGTTGGACAAAAGAAGGACGGTTTTTCGGTGATCCAAACTTCTGGAATAGCCATGTCGGGTGTGAGGCATGTTAACAAGATTCCTACAATCAGAGGAACGGATATCATGAGAGATCCAAGGCTAAACAAGGTAATGTAAATATGCAGGCCTACTGAAATATATAGAGTCCTGTTTTCTGATTACTGTAATCCCACGACCATGATTCAACGCACGACTGCACGTACAGCGCAAAAGTTGTGCAATGAGCCCTGTCCATTTAAGATTTTTACGTCGTTTAACGAAGGAAACTTGATAATCTGTCGGAATCTTTTGTGTATTAAGTCAGTAGGTTAGGGAAAACCTTTAGTTCTTTACCTTGGTATTAAATGTACCTTATCGGGCACTGAACTTATTCTGAACTGCAAATCTCATAAGTCAACCCGCTAGCGCTGAAATTGTCAACTAGTGCTTAGATCTAAGCTAGCTTACAATAAGTCTTACAAAGAGTATTAATGCCCAAACAAATCAGATTTTGTTACAGTGTTATTGCATTAGGTTGATCTGGACAAATAACCTTCCAAAAAATATTAATTAAAAAGTGCGGGTGGTGCATTTGCATACATTTGTACATTTATGTAAGCTTATGTACACGCGCCTCTAAGAATATTTTCTCATTTAGATAACAAAAAGTTAGATTTTGCTCGCATTTGTATCCAGGAAGAAACTTTCAATCCCAAGCATGTTTTATGACAGCCACTGGCAAACTGAAAGTCTTCTTTTTTACCCATAAATGTGTAGTCAACTAGCAGGGGCATAGCCAGGATTTTTCAAATGGGGGTCACACTGTGTCAAAGTGAGTATACTCACCAGATTGTCATGACATTTTTGCCATGCTTGCTTAAAAAAAAGGGAGAGGGGGGGGGGGTCATGGGCACCTTAGGACCCCTGTAGCTACACCCTTGACTTGTAAATTCTTCTAACCCCTCTCCATACAAGACTTTTAGTGCTAGTTTGGAGAATCTCAACATGTGAATATTATGGCAATTTTTCTGCCCTGTGGAAGCATATGTGCCATGGTAGGTGGTACGGAAATGGTGTCTAGTCTCTAATACAAGTGGAAGGGGGAGGAGGGGTGAAGCAGGACAAACTACAACCAACTCACTCTCTCATAGATTCAATTCTAGCACCTTCTCAATAAGTGAGTGATATTTTGACAGTGGTTTGTCAAGTTTGATTCCATGTAAACTACCTTTCCATGTTTCTAAGGAAAGAAAAGATCACTATTAATAATTTAAGGTGGCTCCCTATCTAATTTTTAAAGACTACACACCCACTGAGGATGAAAGCAATCTGTGCACACTCAAAGGAAAATGTCAGGGTTTTCTGACAGTACCGGTATATGACATCAGCATGACCACTGACAAAAACAACAGGTTGTAATAAGTAAAAATTCCTGACATGGAAATAATGCCACCAAAAAACCTTTTGAATAGAATTATACTATACATTATGTGTTAGGTCTGTTATAGTTTTGCCCCAGGTAGCCTCTCAGACCAACTCTCAATTTAAATAATTTTTAACAGTTGTGAAACTGTATAATGTCACCCAAGCTAACTACACAAGGTTAGTTGATTGGCTGATTGTTAATTAATTACTTGTTAATGCAGGGAACCGCCTTCACTCTACAAGAAAGACAGATCCTTGGAATACATGGTCTCCTTCCTCCATGCATATCGACTCAAGAGATTCAAAGCCAAAGAATGTATGCAGAACTACACAGAAAGGCTAATGATCTTGAAAAATACATTCTCCTGATGGCTTTACAGGAGAGAAATGAGTCCTTATTCTTTAAAATCTTAATGGATCACACAGAAGAGCTGATGCCGATTGTTTATACCCCAACTGTGGGTCTTGCTTGTCAGAAGTATGGCATGATATTTAGGAGACCTAAGGGGCTGTTTGTTTCTATCCATGACCTTGGACATGTTGAAGATCTCCTAGCAAATTGGCCAGTTGAAGATGTTAAGGTACATGTCTTATTTATAGCAGATTTTATAGAATTAACCTATACGGCCATCTGATTATGGGATACTCAATGACTGGAAGAAACCAAATTAGAATATATATCCCAGGAGACAGGGCAGGGGTTGCAATAAAAGCCGGTTACCGGTGGTCTACTGCCGCCTGTAGGACCTCTTACCACTGTCTGTTTGGATTTCATTAATGAACATAAAAATGATAATGATAAAAAAAAGAAAATACAACAACAACAACGACCAATGAAATTTTTAAATGCTACAAAAAAGCGGGCAAAACAGACCCAAGGCCAAAAAACTGAAGTGCACGCGATAATTTCAATGTCCAGCAGTACACTACAAAACTGAAGCCTCGATATCATGACAAAACAACAGGGCGTCTAGAAAATGTAAGCGGAACAACATGAGGGACATAAATATTAATGCGTTTAAGTGGTTTTTCAAGGACTCTGGGACAAACTCTGATGGGAACCAGTCTTCGTCAACCGGTAGGAATNGGGGGGGGGGGGGGGGGGGGGGCATGCCCCCAGACCCCCCTAGGAGAAAGGGGCCTTACAGCCCCTTTAGTGGTCACAGCCACTTATTACATCTTCAGTGGCCACTTATAACTAATGTTATTGAAACAAAAATCCAGACCATGTAGTCTGCAGACCGCGCAGTCTGCGGACCATGCAGTCTGCAAAACATGGAGACTGCAGACTGTGGAGACCATGCTGATTGAGTACTCAACATAGGATGTTCTTTGTATTTCGCATACAATCTGAGTGCAAATTGTGTCTTTTTTGATGGGTTTGTGGCTTATGGGGTTTTTTGTACTTTTTGTACTCAGTCTGTATGGTCTGCTTGGTCTGCAGTCTGCATGGTCTGAATTTTGGTGTGACCACCAGGTGATATCCAAATAACAAACCAGAACATAAATAAGTGAAAAGTGAAAAAACTACCTTGAATGAATTAAAATTGAAAAAAATGTTTACTAGAACATGTCAAGTAGTTAGGAGTCGTAGTATATACTAATAATATTATTAAAATGATTTAGTGAGTAAAAGAGTCAGAAGAGAGAGTGTTAAATTCAAGGTTGTGGTCTATGCAAAATAATCAAGATCAAATTTACTCATCTGACTTAACTTGGTGAATATTTTTTTTTATCATGATACCAACAGTTAGCTGTTGTGAACTGTGTACAGGTTTGGTAGGGGGAACTGGTTGGCAAATTCCATAAAAAATTCTTGTACGTGTGATCTAGAGAGTTACCAAAAACATTGTGTAGTCAAGCAAAAGAAATATACAGAACAAACTAAAAAAAATACACAACCTGACGGTCCAAAAAAATTCTCCAACCCCTCCTCAAAAATGATGGTCCATCACTAACCTGTCTAGCCCTGAACCTTTTGCCCTTTTTGTATTGTTTTCTAATAAAAGGATTATCCCCAAAGGGGTTCATATGTTGTTGTTCTAAATTCTGACCATTTTCTACTTTGTTATGTGGAAGGAAACACATGATAATCTCACAAGGATGAAATTTCAAAACAACATTTGATAGGTATATGTTTTTAATTATTTTCTACCATTCTAGGCCATTGTAATGACAGATGGAGAGCGCATTCTTGGCCTGGGTGATCTTGGTTGCTGTGGCATGGGAATACCTGTTGGAAAGCTTGCTCTGTATACAGTGTGCAGTGGCATTGATCCAGGAGTGTGTCTTCCTGTCATGATTGATGTTGGAACTAATAATCAGGTGAGGAATCAGCCAGCTGTGTTGCTTGTTTGCCTCTTGTGGTAAGGTAGGGTAAATCCTACACTTTCTAAAAGTCCTTTCCAAATACTTCCTGGCCTGGCCTGTTGGTTCTGTTGCTCAAAGATCACCCTCTTGCATCGATTATCAAGGACAATTACTAAGCAAAGAGGGCAGGTTGACTAGGTAAATCCAGTTGAGCCAGGTTGTTCATTGATTCCAGTGCCTTTATCTGATCTCTGTAATGTTAGTCCATCACAGGTTAGCCCAGAGAGCCATTTTCTTGCCCAAGAACAAACACAATGGGCTTAAATGCAGAGCTATCAATCTGGAACCACTAGACATACAAGACACATACACTGATTGCTTTGCATAAATAACAGATTAAGCCATTTGTTAGAGACCAAGCTAGAGATGTGTGCTTGTACTAATCTTGGTGCTAAGTCTCAATGATCATAATTGAGATTCTTGAAAATATTGAAAGCATCTGTACCAAATTATTCAAATTATTTTAGTGTCTGATATGACAGTTACCAAATATTCTTATCCATTATCAGGAATGTTACTGACTGGAAATAAAAGATCCTCCATTGCCTGGGATTTTCCTAACATGAAAGCCAGGCTTAAGAAGAAAATAACTAATTCTGATGTTCTTTCCCTCAGGCTTTGCTAGATGATCCACTTTATATCGGAGTTCCTCAGAAGCGTGTAACGGGTAAAGCATATGATGATCTTATTGATGAGTTCATCCGTGCTGCAACTCAGAGGTATTTTTACCAAGTCAAATCTTTTTTTACATTATTTATTAATGCCATACCTTTTACACATATTTAAGGTGGCTCAAATCGGTTTGCAGCACTTTTCAAGACATAGATTTTGATGGGTCATTATTACCACCCTTGATCAGTTGATGTCACAATCATGGTATCAAATAACTGCCCAATCATTGGTGAACATGTTGTTATCATTTTTGACATGATGGGTTACCATAATAACAGTATGGCTTGCTAAAAACACCTCAAATTTAGCTTTTAGTATTTATATTTCAAAAACAGCATCATGAGACCCTTTTTATACTACCAAATTTTAATAAGCAGGATAAGTTGCAACTTTTGGCAAAGTTTAAATTTGAAAATGTGTGATATTTGACTGCTCTTCATTTGACACCATTTTTCTTTTCTAGATATGGTGAAACAGTATTAATCCAGTTTGAAGATTTTGGAAACCATAATGCCTTCAGATTCCTGGAGAAATACAGAAATAAGATTTGCACCTTTAATGACGACATACAAGGTATATATAAGCTTTCTTCAGTTGGTACAGAGTGACAGACAGATTTCTTTTGAGAGGTGAGATCCAACTGTCATGTTTTTCAGGTTGCATGTGACACTTGATCAGTTAAGTTCTCATGACCTGCAGTGAATTTGTACACCTACACAGTATATTTAGAAAGACCTCCAGGACAAAGTTGAACAAGTTGAGCAGTTCGTAGTTAACACTGCCCCCGCATTTTTTTGCATGGGAGGCACAGTGGCCTCATGGTTAGTGCTCTCGTCTCTGGATTGAGCAATCCCAGGTCGAGCCCTGGCTGGGGTCACTGCATTGTGTTCTTGGGCAAGTCACTTTGCTCTCACAATGCCTCTCTCCACCCAGGTGTATAAATGGGTACCAGCAAACTTAATGCTGGTAGGGGTAACCCTACGATGGACTAGCATCCCATCCGGGGGGAATTAGAAATACTCCTAGTTGCTTCATGCTACAGAAACCAGGATAAGCTCTGGTCTGATGGGCCGGTTGGCTCGTATGCAGACTTTAAACTCCTACTTACCTACCTATGTTTATTTACAGGCACTGCATCTGTCACAGTTGCTGGTTTGCTCGCTGCTCTGCGAATCACTAAGAATAAGCTGGCAGATCACAAGTTCCTCTTTCAAGGAGCTGGGGAGGTGGGTAAAGAAAAAGCCAAAATTATACAAAAAGATTCATATCAGGTCCCAGTTGTTCAAAACGTGGATAATGCTATCCATTTGGTAAATCACTATCCAGTGGATAAGTGTTAACAAAACAAACCACACTATCCACTGGATAGTGATTTATCTGGTAGATAGCGTTATCCACCTTTCGAACAACTGGGGTCAGATCACATAGATTCCAACTTTGTTTGGCATGGAAACAGGTTATCTGTTTTCAGACATTATCTGCCCAAGTGAATTGCTGACGGAGATAATGTCCAAGGGGAAATAAATGCTTATTTTTTTAATACAAATTTTATACCGATCCATTGAATGTTTAAATACACAAGGAAAAACTGTTTGGTAGATCTCGACCAAGCTATCACTATTGGATTATTTTCATATTCCAAAATCTTGGTAGACTGTTTTAAACACCGAAAACATTTTGCAATTTACTTGAGACAAAAATGGAATGTGCAAAGATAAAATTTGCAGAGTTTGATCACTCCAGGACAACATCCCTTTTAGTTCCCTCTAGGGTGATCTGCATCAAATTTCTCTTTATAATATCAATACCTTGTCAAGCAGACAACTGGTGAGAATTTAGGAACTCATCTGCCAAGTATTTTGTGGGTCTGCACAAAGTGCAAGTGAGCGAGTCATGTGAGACAACATCCAAGCCATTCCAGTAAGCCTATTAAATATTACATTCTGTTATTATATGTTTGTGTCTCACAAGGACTGGGAACTACTGAATTCACGAATTTGATTGGTTGAAATCGATATTGAAAGCGGTCTAGATTTTCCCATCTAGACCGGCATCTAGACCGGTTACATTTTGCGATGAAAAAGTTGCCAACTAAAATGCAAAAATATTGACTATTTTCTTCTAACGATATTTATCTATGGAAGTGCCAAAAAGCCTGATGAGAAAAAAAAAGTAAAGAGGACAAGCAAACTTTGGCAGAATTAAGTTCGGCTCATCGCCGTTCGCAAGCAAAATGTCAGCTAGTACAAACCAATTACATTAACTGAATTAAATTGTTATTGTTTGCCATATAATAAACATCTTATTAACCAAGCTTAGTCAATCTGTATGGGAGAATCTTGACCTCGATCGTGTGTACAGACCTCACTGCATTCGGTCTGTATTCACAACCTCGGTCAAGATTCTCCCATACAGACCTCCTGCTCGGTTAATAAGAGCTAATTAAGTTTACAGTCTGTCAAAAAGCCACTTGCTGACTTGTGGTTAGCCTCAGAGATAGTAGGGATCACTGGCTCGCATAGTGCGCATGCTAGAGTCGCTGGCTTGCTGGCTCACAAATTGTCTACACTCAATTTTGTAAGGAACTGAGATTCTTCCTGATACTTTTCAATAGGCTGCTATTGGAATTGCTGACTTGCTTGTTCTAGCCATGATCAAGGAAGGATTATCCCTTGAGGAGACGAGAAGAAGAATATGGCTTGTAGATTCTAGAGGACTGGTTGTGAAGGTAGCCATGCTCATGCATATTACATATACATGCAGTATATAGTACATATTTACTTATTATAAAATGTACTTCTTGTACAACCACGTCACTGTATCTACATTAAGAACTCATTTACAGCTCAAGCACAGTTGCTGTGGAATTTGTTTACATATTAGAAAGTGTCCTGGTATACTCATCACAAAATCCATGTTCATACATTTCTGTTTTAAGGCAGACCATTATCTATGGTTGCATAAAGGCATGCGCACTTGCTTCTGTAAAAGTTTGAATGCATTTATTTTTGGGGGGTTCTTGTACGATGCATAAAAATAAATAAATAAATAAATAAATAAATAAATAAATAAATAAATAAATGAATAAAATGTGAAAAATGTTCCCCTGATGAGAGTGTTTGTCTTACTATACATGTACTTCTGATTAGTGTGATATATGGTCAGGTTATTTAAGGAAAACTCTGTTCTTCAGGATCGTGCAGTTGGAGGATTAACTGAAGAGAAACTGAAATACGCTCATGAAACAAAGCACATCAGTACCCTTGCAGAAGTTGTTAAGACTATTAAACCAACTGCCATTATTGGTAAGCTGAAATCAGAATTTTAAAAAAGCCCTTTTGATTTAATTTATTTGAATTGAGGCCACCACACAGAGGCTCAGTGGCCTCATGGTTAGTGCATTCATCTCTGGATCGAGTGGTCTGGCTTTGAGCCCTGGCTAGGGACATTGTGTTGTGTTCTTGGGTGAGACATTTTAACCTTATGGTGCATCTCTCTACCCAGGTGTATAAATGGGTACCTGTGATCTTAATGCTGGGGGTAACCCTGCAATGAACTAGCATTCCAACCAGGGGGGAGCAGAAATACTCCTAGTCGCTTCATGCTATAGAAACCAGGATAGGCACTGACCTGATGAGCCACTTGGTTCGTATACAGACCTAAACTTACCTACTACCTAAATTTAATGGTGTACTGTTTTCATGCTGATTTCCGTTTACCTTTACACACAGGTGTCGCAGCAGTGGCTGGAGCATTCACTGAAGACATTGTTAAGGCTATGGCTTCCTTTAATGAGCGACCTATCATCTTTGCTCTTAGTAACCCAACCTCCAAAGCAGAATGTACAGCAGAACAGGCTTACACTTGGTCTAATGTAAGGAAACTCTTATTTTCTGGGATAATTCAACTAGGTATAGACAGATCCAAGTCCAATTGGACAGCAGGAATAAAAGATATTTGGGGAAATATGCAGACCATTTTCCTGCCTGACTGCGGACTGTTGATTTGCTGGTATACTGACTGCAGTCAGTGCCTAAGATGATTTGACTATTCACTGAATTAAGTACAGATAGTGGTGTCACCTGTTGATTATTAAATTGCCAACTGGGTCTCTGTACAGAATTAAACTATCAAAAAGAAATAACCTTGATTCACTTTTTGTGAAAATCGTGGTCTACAGGAAACCATCACTTGCTACAGGTAGCCCAAGTGACCATGATATTACCACAGGGTATCCAGTTTCATGGGAGTGAAACTTGCATAATTTGTTCTTAATCACAAGAGAAAATAAGAAACATCTACAAAGATACAAGTCACAAAGTTCTCCAGTTCAAGTGGTTAGCGTGCAGCATATGACACAATTTGATGATGGCTGGTGTGATTTCAAGCTCATTGCCCTGATCATGTTGCCAACCTTTTTCAGGGAAAGGCTGTGTTTGCCAGTGGAAGCCCTTTTGCACCTGTCACTCTTCCTGATGGGCGTCATTTCATACCTGGTCAAGGGAACAATGCCTACATCTTTCCTGGTGTAGCACTGGGTGTGATTGCCTGCAAAACTCAGCATGTTACTGATGAGATGTTCCTTCTTGCCGCGGAGGTAACAATAAAGTTACTTGTTGTGGCATTTCCAGAGTCATTGGTTAATATTTTTTGTGAGCTTATGAAAACATCACCCATTAAACTTGAAAAATGGTCATGAGAGTTATTGTTAGCCACTGCACTACGGTTATAAGGCTATCAGTCTTAACAGACCCTATTTGTTCGTAACACTGTCCACTGGATGAATCACTATCAAACAGATAAAAATGTGGTAAACAATAATAAAGCCAAATACGATACTTATTAAGAACTGATTTATCCAGTGGTAGCAGTGGATTAGAATTATCTGTCGATCTATAAATCTATCGGGCTGTTTATCAACATGGTAAGCACTCTTTATTTGTACATGACAAAAGAAACGTAAAAACTAGAAGCTTGTGGGGTAGTGTAAAGAGATAGAGCTAACCTTTTACTTTCACTTTCCCTGCTGCAGTCATAGCTGTTGATTCTAAACAAGTTTCTATTATCTTTTAACTAATCCCCTGATTCAGTTATGGGAGTCTGTCTACTTAATAATAAATGTAATATGACTTTTCTTTTACTCTCACAGTTTCATTTTATTAACTTATGAACAATTTCATTGTGTGACACACTTTTCATCTTTCACCCCAGTCTTTAGCCAATCAAGTGGAATCCTTGCAGCTGGAGAAGGGCTGTCTGTACCCACCCCTGAAAGATATCAGAGATGTGTCCTTTAAAATTGCTGTCGATGTAGTGAAGCTGGCATATACTTGTGGATTAGCCACCATTCATCCTGAACCTGAAAATAAACAACAATTAGTCCAAGAAAACCTCTACAGTGCAGATTATATGTCTTACATTCCACACACCTACAACTGGCCGACAGAATGACTGAATATTGAAACAACACCAAAACAATTGGAAAACAAAATCTGAATATTTTTTTTTTCTTTGAATGGAATAGTTTAGAGTGGTTTAATATTTTTTCTTGCGATAGTAATAACGAACGTTTAAAGCCACATAATATATCTTTCAGGCAAATAATTTCACAAGTATAGCCCGTGAAATGTAGCCAATGGCGATGAGTTAGGTAATGGTTTAAATCGGATTTTTTAGATTTTCACACATTTCGACATGTATTTACTGTGCAACAAAACACTTTGTTTTTGTATTAGTATCTCTTTTTATCTCATCAGTGCATATTAGTTCAAACAAGTATTTGGTGAGAGCGCACAAATTAGGATGGAAACTGATGATATGTTTTCACCAGCTCTTGTCATGTGCAGAGCTGTTGATCTGTTGAAATCACAAGTCTGATACACAAAAAAATACTGTGAGCTGCAAAGGTTCTGGGTAGTTAAAATTTATCATACTTTCAGGGGACAAGAATTGATGCCTGTTTGATGAAATTCTAAACCCAGAGTTACATAATGTTGAAAATACTTTTTGGAAGAAATGAATTGTCAAGAATTAAATTATGATCCGTATCTCTTGATGTCAATGGTTTTTAATATATTTAGAAAATAAATCAATATCAAACAGAGGATAATATATCTTGCCATGTCATTTGTTTATCTTATTACAAAATAAGTAATAAAAAAGCGCGCTTTAAAAAGCTTGGGAGAATTTAAAATGTGTGGAAACACGAGCCGCGCGCAGCCTGTAGCCAATAAAAGAACGGCATTCGTGATAGAACGCTTGTAGACTTTTAGGCAGCCGGAGGAATTTGAAAGCGGAGCTTTATTTTTACGGTTACACAAACCCGTCACTAAAACGGAGCTTTTCGAAAACGAACAAAAACCCGGAGGAATTTGAAAACACCGCTTTTCGTTTTCCCGTGGACGGGAAACATTTTAAAAACGGAGCTTTTCGAGAACGATGGCGTCACGATAATCACGTGATTTCCCTGACCGAGTTTTCCTCAAACACAAATCCAAAATGGTCTGTGATTGTTGCGTTTTTTCAATTCCTCTGGTGTAGTGTGGACGGAAAACATTTGATGCGTTTTCAGAGTGAGTTCAGTGAAAACTCCGTTTTCAAATTCCTCCGGCGTAGTGTGGACGGGGCTATACTAAAACTCCAACGTTAGAAACACGGAAAATGTTTCATAATTCGGGGATCCGGCTCTTATTTCCAGGTAGAAGCCAGAGAAAAAAACATTAAGGAGACGGGATAGAAAAGAAACGGAAACACGTTCGAAAAGGAAAGCGATTTGTTATCACGAATAAAAGGATGGCTTGATGGCGGGATTTTTGTTTCCTTCTTGAAGGTTACAATAAACCTTCACGCTACCCTTGGCTCACAGGACCCATTTCTATTTCCGAAAATGGATGGAAACTACGAAGCAGAGCCACCATAACCACGAAGTTGTGGAACAACGCGAGAGTTTGGAGCTGCTTTAGGAGGATAGTGCAAATCTACCCAAGTTAGATGATGAACTCAACTGTCACATAAAGAGAACTCTTAAAGAGGACTTTTTTCTGTTTCCCTCGAGCTAATCGGAGAAGATAGATCAGTAGCAAAACGGCGGTATCTGGAAATTAGATTCATCCTAAACCGTATTGATTATTTTTTAGCTTAATTGATAGGCTGTCAAACGTTCTACTACAAAAAAAAAATCACCTACACGGTTTTGATTTATATGCTTTCTGGAAAAACGCAATTTGATAGGGAATTTGGCCCCCAAAGTTAGCTAGCTCTCAGTCAATAAGCCCCCCCCACCCCCCAAAAAAAAAGCTTGCTTAAACTTGGTTTTCTATAGATGAAAAACACAAACTTCGCCTGAATTTCAGCCACCTTTTCGATTCGCACTATCCCCCAATTCGGATCGAATATAAATTCTTGTACGTTCTTGTAGGTAATTGTTTGACTTGATATATGGTTTGATTTCAGTTTGGATCAATTTTTGCGAATCATTTGTTTTTTCTCAGAAAAATACACTCCAAAAGCGAAAATATTTGCGGTCAAGTTGGGATTGGAAGTTTGTCGGCTTTTTTTCGTGAAAATGGTCGCCTTCCGAAGATTACCGACAACCCAGCAACCCACTCGCGAAGAATCTTGGGCAGGAGGAAGTCGCCATTTTGGGTGTTTGAGCCAGGGTGGAAATTAGTGAATCTATAGCATTTTTGAATTTGGTCATTTCTACAGGAACTTACCACCATCCGGTGGAGGTCAAAAAAGACTGGGATCTTGGCTTTTATCTCACGGTGTCGGTTGATTTGGTAATCGACCATGCCGCTGATAAAGAGATCGGTCGATCCGATCGAGCTGAGTCGTGGAAAGTTAGAAGACGGGCTAAAGAGTGAACTGGAAGCCGTGTCCGTAAACACGTTATGTGGGATAATGCGACAACTGAGCAGCATTTCTAAACACGCGGAAGATCTTTTCGGCGAGCTTTGTGCCGAAACAAACAATGTCTTCCAAAGAACGAACTCTCTTCATGAAAGAATTCAGAATTTGTCCATGAAGGTGACACAACTGGACTCGAATGTGGAAGAAAGTAAGTGATCAAGGTTATGTGGGAAAATAATATACGACGCATTCCTGAGCTAAATTTATCAAATTCTTGAATCGGCTAGGAAAGATAAAAATGTCTGCTCTTGTTAAGCTTATATAGTATGCAAAATATATGATGGAAATGCTGTGAGGATATCATTTTAAGCTAATTTGACTTCTGGTCTGTACACAACTTTATGTTATTGTTGATTTTCAATGAATAATTATTTTGTTTCCATGTCGTTTTCGCAAAAAAGAATCTGTTGCTAAAATATCGGAAATTTTCAAGGAAATTCTACGGCGTTTTTACTCTAAATTTGCGTGAAAGATGTTTTTAAGTTAAGCTTATAGTTTTCCTTTTATAATTTGAAAACAATCTTATTTCTCGATACTTGTCATCATATAAATTAAGCTCTTAGTCATACCTGCTGGTTTGGCGGCGTGATTAGCGTTTGAGTCTTGTGAAGGTTACTTTCGTAACATTTTAGAGTATTTTCACCGAAATGTAGGGGGAGTTTGTTTAATAATTTGTTGAGAAACCCTATAAAATATTAACACAGAACAAACTGTTCGTAATCCTTTAGTTAGCAAGCTATTATTTAAAAGTGTTTGTTGCTAGTGGTTAATTATAGCAATGATACATTAATGTAAAAGCGGTGGTTATTTCTTGCCAATTTTTTCAAACGTTTTTCAGATGTATGTGTGCACATCAGTAGGCTAGTTCGAATGCAGTACTTCAATAGTTAGCTTGTTATCACTATTCAATATTCTTGTGGGTGTTACTTTAGAAAACTGGTGGTTAAATTGTTAACATCACCAGTTTTGAAGTCAGATAATTTCTCATAGCTTATTGATCATTTTTACGCCCTCAAGGTCTGTAAAAAAGATTGCAGCTAAAACAATTTCCTCTGGTGTCTGTGATCTCGACATTTTCAAGGTTTAACTTTACAGAATTTGTGCAATGGAATCCTAACAAACATGGCTGCGCCAGGATGGGGAAAAATTTAAATTCATCCTGAAAGCTGAAAATAATGGCTTTGATTAATGTAAAATAGGTCAAGGTGCATGTTACCAACCTCAGCTTTCATCTTCAAGACTTTGATTATTTTTACCATGAGCGTGATTATTTTGGAAAGCACAAAGATCTTTTACAGTGAGGACACTTGAACTGTGAACACTTGACATTTTTGTACATTTTTACCATAGAAAGAGGGCTCTTCATATTAACAAGGGTGTTTAAACTTAAAAAGATTGGCATTTTTACAGTGTGAAAAATGCTAATCTTATACATTATATGAAGAGCCTTTATCCTGCAGCCACCTAAAAATATACAACAAGTGTAAAGTGTTCACGTTTTGAGTGTCTATAATAATTATTAATCACTGGGTCACTGGGTCAGTTTCAGATAACTTCCTTCATACTGTAATATCAGTTATTAAATAATTATATTTTGATAAAGTTGGGGGAGAGTAAACCCTCTCATTTGCCCTCTGAGACTGAAGAATAGCTTCAGTTTAGCTGAAGGAAGTGTAAGTGTAACATTAATTTGACATTTTGTTCAATTTTCAGTTTCTTTACAAGATATAAACTTGCGGAAAGCCTTCAAGTGCACCATTGTAACAGATCAGCAGGTTTTGGCCAGTAGTACTCTTCCCTCAGCAATGAAGGAGAGATACAGCACTTGTGATAAACCACCTAGGCTTCAGGATATGAACTCTTACAGAGATGACAATAAAGATGCTCTTAAGTTCTACACTGATCCTACATACTTCTTTGAGCTGTGGTGTGAAGAGATGAGGAAAGAAACAGAGAAGAAGAAGAAAAAAAGAGTGAGTGTTTTATTTGTTTGGTTTGGATCAAGTTTATCCTCTCACTGCTTAGGTTTGTGCAAAGGATAAAATCTGCCATACTGATAAAAGTAGTATTATAAACTGTTCAAGGAAGTACATGTGCCTCGATGATTATTGACCCGAGGAGGCACCCTAGGATTCCCCGCGTGTATACATGCAAGGAATTTCAAAAAAGTAAGAAATGTGTTGGTAGTATGCAAAGTGTTCTTGATTTGATGTTGGTGGTATGCGAAGCATTCTCGATTTGATGAAACTAGGCGCGCACAGTGGTCTCGGGTAATGTGGGGTAAGGAACGCAGGCTCACAAAACAGCTGGAGTGGTGTGGGGTACATGAAATGCTTGATTTCAAGGTGCTTGCAGCCATGAGTTCGYGTTTCGCCATCTTCTAGCAGCATTTCAAGGTTCTTGTAAGCACGAGTTCGCATTTCACCATCTTTGAGCAGCATATCAAGGTCTCCCAACCATGAGTTCACATTTTGCTATCTTCGAGCAGCATTTCAAGGTCAAAAAATACTCTCCAATTACAATATGCAGCAATATGGCCTGCATGATGATTTTAGCACGATCAAATGAATTCGCTTCGAAATGGCCGAGATTCTCATCTAGGACAAATTGAAAACAATAATTACTTCAAAGATCCTGAAGATGGATTTTGGGAGAAAAACAACTCAGAAGGTATCGTAAGAAATTCTGAAGTATAGTAGAAATTCGAGGCCAGTGTTAAATACCCTTCTGATCCTTTGACATCTCGTTTATTTGGATCGCTTATTTGTACTGAGTAATCCTATGTGGCGTAGAGCTCATGTGACAGTTGGGTGACTTTGCAGGGATCCAAATGTGAATGCAATTGTTTTGCAGTGTTTTTGTTGAGGTCAAAAAGCTTGACTCTAATTTGCATATATGGTGACTGTAACACGATACTTCTGTTTACGTCTCGGAAAAAATCAACTTCCGTTCTACTTTCGAGATATGATTGCTCGTATATCAAGACAAATGGTTTGTTCGCCACGTCTTATCATGTCAGCATTAAACGGTACCAGTTTACTGGCTGTGACATGCCCCTGCAAAAATCAAGCGGGGTGGCCATTTTGGTGTCCTTACAGGAATGTGGTTTTTTTGGCCTATAACTTTGCATAGGGAGACCAACTCTGAAAAGCCACAGGTCAAAATTAGGTTTGCGTTCCACTTCATCAAACACAAAAATGTTCAATATTATTGTTTTCAATCAGCAGAAATAAAAGAAAACGGGGGCAGATTTAGTGATAACTATTACCAGTTAGTCATATACTGTAGACCCTTGTAGCACATGGCCTTCATCATCATCATCATCATTTCTTTATTTAAAACACGAAATCTTATCATAAAAATGCTCTTCCTAGGAGTCGTGTGAAAAATTACAAGAGAATACATCACACTAGTACTTTATTTTAATACCAAAGTAGAAGATGGTGTTGCCTGTTTTGTTTGAGGTCTAAAAAGAACTGCTACTGGGCACACGAGCAGAACATGAGTGGGTTCAGGAGTTTTTTAGACCTTGAAGTGGGCATTAATTTCTCAGGAAACATTGGAACACCATGTTCTATTTGGTTTAGAAAACAACATGAAAAAGCAAAAATATTTACATCTGAGAGGGGGCAGTGATTGTCCTAGCAGTGCAACATCTGGTACATATGTGCTCTATAACTTTCTATTTTTGGCCTACCTTCCAGGTTTTAGGGCACAGAATTAATTTAACCTTTTGTAAAGGAAATAGTAAGATTGCTCCTCACGTACTGCTGAATTTTGTGAGAAGGGTGACTGAGAAGTTCTCAGATGTGCTTAATGCTTCTGTCTTTGAACTTCTCTAGTGTTCTTATAAATTCCTGTTTGCTTACAATACCAGTTATGTAATTAGCGAGTCTTTTTTCATTTGAACCTTACATTGATGAATCACATCTCATCTCTCATCATGCCTCTCAGGACAACTAAGGCCATGATGAATCACATATTAAGTGATAAGTGTAAACAGATTGCATGGTACAACAGGGGCTGACAAGGTAGCTGAGCTTAGTTAATGAGACTGTGTTTGCTTTTAGCGAGCGGGCCGGATGAGGGCTGGTACAAGGGAGAAGAGGCCAGTCAAGGCTGTGAAGAAGAAACAGTACTGTGCTCAAGGCGAGGAATTTAAAACTGCTGGCAACATATCTTCACCTGCTGCTATTACAGAAGAAAGTCACCATGCAGAGAGACGTCCCACCAATCATTACTCTAAACAACTGAATGGTGGCATCCCTGATGGTACGCCTCCCAATCATGTTATAAGTCCTGATGCTGGAACAGGAAAATCAGGTTCTCCAGCCTTGAGGAGGCAGTCTAGACGATACACTGGCCAAAATATTAATAAGCCAAATGTAGCACCACCACCCCCTCCAGTCCCTTCATTAGGAAAAATGTCATCTCCTCCTCAAGCTCATGATGATGCCATGACATCACCTGCGGGGAACATGGTCCCACCACCACCACCATTGCCAGGGGCTCCTGCTCCCCCTCCCCCTCCACCCCCACCTCCCTTACCTGGTCAGGGTGGGATGCCATCTCTAAAGCAGGCCCCTTCGGACCCCTCCGTTGGGCCGCAACCAACAGTCTCACCAATTTCAGAGTCAACTTCAGAGTCAAGCATAAGTGTTCAAAGTGGAGAGACACCCCTTCCCCCTCAGAAACAAGTTGATGCTAGAAGTGACTTGTTGTCTGCCATCAGAAGGGGCATGGAGCTTAGAAAGGTCCAAGTGCAAGAGGCCAAGAATGAGCAGCGCAATGATACAAATGGCTTTATGGATGTGGCAACCATTTTGGCTCGTCGTATTGCGGTAGAGTATTCATCTAGTGAAGATGAAAGTGAGACTGGCTCTGAATGGTCTGATGGTGAAGATGAGTAAATGTTTTGTCCTGACTTCATCTTCTGACCACTTTAGAATAAAACTGGACAATCCATGGACATTTATAGATTGTGGGGTCTTATTAAAGCAAATCCAGCAATAGTTTTGTACAGATGCATGAAATCTGGAGTAATATTATCTAGTGCTGCAATTATTTGATGGTTTCATGGGTTTTGTATAACTTTTTTACAAAAAACATACATCCAAAGCAATGTACAAATTAAAGTACGCCATACTTTTTCAGTAATAATTTGTTATAAAATTGAGAAAAAAAGTTAGTGATAATAGTCATAGAGGTTATGGATGGTGACAAGAAATTATTGTTCTGTTGTCTAAATTTGTCATTATATGAAGAAGTCTTGATGTGCTGTTAAGAAATTATGTGTGCGTATGCAGTTGAACTTTACAGAGCAGCCTTCAAGCTGAAGCATGCACATGCAGTATGGTTGTCTGTGGAAGTTTAATTGTATTTGATAGAGCTATATTGTTGGTTGAGGCAGTGACAGTTTTGTTATTAATATAAAGATCAAAATTAATGTTGCCTTTCAAAAAGACAGTTTCTTTGAATATTGACATTAATTTTATGTTTTCAGAATGTAACATACTAGAACAATGAGCATACTGGTCACCTGTTGTGACATATTCTAGATACAACAAGTGCAAAATGGTCAATAAAATGTAATGGTTTCTTTTTAAACCGCTCTCTGTATTAAATAGATGCATTGAAACTCCACTTCACATCCGAAATGGAAAATTTATTTTAGGGTTTATTATCTCTCATATGTCCATGTCACAAGAATTAAGGCAGTCACCATTTACATTCTGTAAAACAAATTGTCTTGCAATCAAAGAAATTTGACGAAAGCAAAACCAAATGAATGTTAGCCGGTAAGGATAATTTGGACACCAACATTTAAGTAATGCAAAATGGAGCCTTCAAATGCCTGGTAGCCTATGTATAAGAAAAGGTAATGATTTTGGGACGTTGATAAGTACCGGTAATTTGATTGACCAGTGTATTTCCACAAGTAGTAGGAGTGGTTTTCAATAATGAGTGTCATAAAACCAAAACCATTGTAATCGCAATAGCCAATCACAGGGGACTCGGACAATCCAGAGAACCAATCAACATCCAAAACTAATAGATGGTTTTGGTTTATTTCCAATTGGATTAGAAAGAGGTGTGAGTTTTGTGAACCAATCATTATGCACAGTAATGCAAAACTAAATCAAATGTGAATTAGTTTGGACACTCAGTTGAAAACTGCTTAGCAGAGTCGCTGAATGACTGATGCAGATGAACTGGTTAAAGGTTTAAAATTCTGCATTATATTAAAATCAAACAATCTCATCAGGTAGACCTGCTCAGTATCCTGTTGTTTCCTGTTAAAAAAAATGGTGACAATTTTTTTGCATTGTCATCCAGAAACAACTTAATAAATTTGATAAAGGTAAATGGGTGGTACTGGGGTGAAGGGGTCGGGGTGGGAGAAGTTTTTTGGGAGAGGGCTCCTGAGTCTTAGTCTTTTCTACTGTAGACTTGCCCTCCCCTCTTCTTACCCTCCTCTTTTTCTTTTACCTTGTTAGGGGTGTTTGATTGGTTATAAGAAGTTTTATTTCACTATATTTCAACCTTTCAGCATTGCATTTTAACATTCTAAACAGGGCTACTAATACTAGATCTTGTGTTGAACAGGTAAAGTCACAGAGAAATAAAAGCATATGTATATTGTAATAATAGTAAAGAGAAGGGAAATAGTTTCAACAAAATGACATTATTATCAACATTTTTCATGTACCATAATTGCAAATATGTTCTGTAAAAACTATTTTTGTATTCCACTATGTTTGGTACGTAAGTTCACATGTTTTGTAAAAATGAACAGGGCGATTGACAAAAAATTTGTTTGCTTTCAGTTGGGAAACAAGTGCAGTTTTTGCAAATCTTAGTTGAAACACTTCTGAAGTTGTGAATCTTTATTGTCCCATAATAAAAATAACAAGAACTGAAAAGGGCTATGAAAGATGTCACATGATCATGGCACCATCAGTTGCTTAGCAACTATGAGACAAAAACTGCAGGCTCAGTTTGGTCTCGGAAACTGGAATTTGCTGTCAACTAGTACTTGTTTTCTCAACTGTATGAGCTAGAGAATCAAAAACTAAAAATAGCATTGCCAAGAAACCTGTTGAAAAGCATGGAATGAGGTTTTCACCCATTAGTATAAGATTCTCTTGTGTAGATTTGATTTTCAGTCATTTCATGATGGTGATTTTCATCTTTGAAGGCTAAGAATGCAGGTGCATGGTGGGCTGAAAATCAAGCCTATGTTACATTGTTATCACTAAATGCTGAAAATAAATAAAACTAGCACAGTTATTCAACGAGGTGTCATAATTACATTATAAGGTGCAACAATCTGTGTTATATATCCTGCACGTGGAAAGATAAAATGCTTGAATTGTTTCACTTTTAAGACTTGTACAGGATAAGTCTCTACAAAGCAGGGCAAGAAAAAAATTTGAAAGTGGGCCAGCACATTTCAGTTTTCAGTAACCCCAACTAAAAATTACTTGCCCAATAGACATGCAATGATCATTATCGACTTCATCATTTACTAGCTAGGCACGCTTTCAACTCATTGTTCTGCTCATCCAGTTGAACCTCATCCCCAGGGCCTTCTCCACTTTTCAAAATGGCAGGCGGGAGAATACCCTTGCTAAGGCTGAACTAACACCATTGCTGATTAGCCCATTTATATGAACAGGCTGATTGGTTTAAATAATCCTAAGGAAATATGGCAGACATGGCGAGCTTTTAAACGAATAAGTAAGGGCTATAGGAGGTTGTATTGCAGTTCAAGTGCTGTCATGTGATAGAAATTTCCAAGATTTTTGGAGATTTTGTACCACGTGATCCAGCTGTTGCAAGGGTCTTCTCCCGACGAGCCGCCATTTTGAAAGTCATCGAGGGGAAGGCCCTGGAGATGAGGTTGCTTCCACTGAGTCTTAAGTTTTTAAATTGTTTTTGACTACTGAGCACCCACTGGACCACCAAACTTCCCGATTCACTCACCCAAGAGCAAAATCTTACTTGCCCGTGGCAATCCACCCTGGTTTTTTCCTGCCCTGCAAGGATCATGATACTTGGTCAAGCTACATTCTAGGGTTGTTTGTGGATATTTACAAGCTCTACTTTCATCACTTGTGTTTACCCCAAATTGCTGGTTGATTTGTGCGAAAATCACCAACTATAATCGACCCATTAGCCATCATTTAAATGGCCCCCTATTATCTGTAAATACTGAACTTAAAGCAACTTATCTTTATAATGTTTTGTGCATTCCTTTTGGCAATTTTGGATGAAATGTTGTAAGCCGGTAGAAGGCGATGAGAGATAAAAACATTCAAATGCATGATTATAATGATTGTCACAAAGTGGTTGAATAACTTCCTGTGGATTATACACTTACAGTTAATACTGAGAAGTTTACTTTTATCTTCTAATTCTTTCTGTTTACTAAGTGCTTTGATCTGTCCCCAAGCTCCCTTAGCAGCTTGTGCCTATTTGGCCCCAATACTTTCTCTTTGATGCCCCTGATTATGTTCATAATTATACATGGTCCATGCTGAGCAATGACTTCATGTAGTTCTGCTTTGACTGTTTTTCTGCAAGATCATTTTGTTCGACATCTCCCAGAACACATGTCCTGTCATCCCTTTTGTTTTGTTTTTGTATAGAAGTTAACAATCTTAAAAATAGTGTAGCACAGAATTGTAAAAGAGGATTTAATGAAGCTTAAGTATTGCAAGAGCTCCACTGAAAAACCGACGAGATAAGCAGGGTTGGATTCCACCTGACATGATAAGTATTGTACCCAACAGTGCAGTAGACATGAGAGATAAGAGTTCATCAGTGTTCCAAAGCTTTTATTTCTATGACCCGTAACGTATGACGATATTACTCTAACACTAAAGCTTCATCTACAAACTTGACTATAGTTTTCCATGGTTTTGTCTAAAAACACATGCATAAAAAATGTCTTGGATGACATCCCTAAGTCTGCAGTGACCTCCAAGGTCACAAAACCTGGAATTTTGTGTTACTTAATATGTTGAGGAAAGGTTACAGTCTAACTAAACAAAATTAAGTAAAACTGAGGTCTGGCTTTTGCAATAAACCTACAAAAGAACCAATTAAAGTATTTGACAAAATATTTTTTGAATAAATAATAAACAAAATAATTTCAGGCAGTTTGTCCACTCCAGCTATTAAGTAAAAGACTTTTTAAAAAAAAGTCTTGACAAAGCTAAGCTAACATGGTTATATATATTATATAAGTCTACTTTTTGTTCCATGTTCCTGATGCTTTCTGTTTACTAACTGCTTTCTGTGTCTTGGCGTAACGTTCTTCAGATCCTGCAATGGAGCCAAGTTTGCCAGATTGGAAGTCACTAAAGGCCTGCTCAATCTCCTCCCAGGTATTCATAACAAAAGGCCCATGACGAGCAATGGCTTCTTTCAATGGCACTCCTGCTATCACCAACACATGAATGTCTTCACTTGGACTTGCATTGATTTGAAAAGTGTTTCCTTTTCCAAGCACAGCAACCTAAAGAGCAGATCAATATGTTACAAGTCATTAATTAAAAGTGAATGCACCCTTGACTAATGTGAAAAAAGAGATAGTGTTAAGGTGGCTCAAAACAGTTTTCTGTGTTTTTGAGACTTAAAGAACTAGGTGTGATTTTTCAGGCTTGGAACTGTACTGTTTTGAGTGGCTGTGCTATTTTTCTAAGGTATCTCTCCACTGTACCTTTCATTGTGTTTAAGTCATAAATTAAGGTTGCACTGCCCTGTTGTATAGCAACAAACTTGACCCACTTTTTACCATCAATCACATTTATCTTAAAAACTAAGCCAGTGACCCCATATTTTTTTTATAAAAATCTTTTTATTACACTCAGAAGAAGAAACAGGCAAAATTATAATAAAAAATTTTGTGGAGTAGATATTTCTTCAATTAAAAATAAATGGAAATTTCCAGGTTGGAGAAATTCCACTCCACAGTTTTTTTCTATAAACATTTTTCACCCATGCATTCCACTTTTGCATTTGAATATTTTTTTGCATTAAAAAAGTAGGGTCACTGGATCAGTTTTTGAGATATTAGCTTTGTGGATAAGGTATTTTTCACGTGCATTGTATGCACAAATTAAAATCTCGACTTTGCAAGATCGCCCCTTGCGCATGTGTGAAGGCGGTCCGCTGATCAGTAAGGCCCACGATTCCCACGCGAATAAACATGAATATAGAAATTGCCTGAAGGATGGATGTTTTGGAAGGTAAAAATAACTGATAACGCAAACAGCTTACCAAACTTGGCGGAAACAAAGTTTTACGAAGCAGGCCTTGCGCTGCCATGCTTGTTTTGAGTTTTGCAAACTTTAAATCTCGCACGCTGTCTCACGACCTCTCGGGTGGTTGTGTGATGCCTCACGCTGAAGTGCACACTAGAGCCCAGGTATCTCACGAGAGTTTTACTATTTGAGCCACATTAAAGTACAAAGCTGTCTCATGCTCAAAAACATAACACAGTGACTCTGCACCTTGGGGGGAATCCCGTATAAAAAGGACAGGGTTGCTCATTGGAAAGAACTCCTAAGAGGTACCAAGACCCTGTTTTGTGGGCATGGCTTGAAATGTTCACCCCTAGGAGATACCAATTCTAAAACAACACATTATCTCCCCTCATAATTTTTTCGGCTTATAATACCCTAAAAGGTACCTAAGAGGTACCAAAACCAGGTTTTAACCTCTAAAAGGTGCAACGAGCACCTCCGTAATTTTTATATAATTAAAGTTAGTGTTGAACTTGGTGTGTGAAGGATTTGTTTACTCACCATTCCCATCTCCACAGAGATTCTTTCCTCTGTAAATGAGCCAGCGCCTCTCCAGACATATGCAAATCCATTGAATTCTTCTGGAACATCCTGGACAAACGTTCCACCAGCCTGCACATGAATGTCCAGGAACATTATTGGTGTTCGTGTGTCTATCACAGCTTTAGCCCCCAGGCTCTCTCCTGCAATGACCTTGACTTTGGTCTTTCCGTCTACAAAATGAACAAAGAAATGTGACGTAAATATAGGCATTATCTAGAAAAATTTAATGTAAATTTTTGTTTTAAACAGAATATTATTTCATTTCCACTTATGTTAAAATCTTGGCAAAATTCTGCCCATCCAGAGCAGCTTAATGTTTCAATAATATTTGCTCCAGGCATGCTAGAAACTTGTTCTGTTTGAAGTTTAAACATTCACTTATTGATTGGCTGAAGGTTGGCAATGGATTGACCATATGCAGCCTGGCAACAATCCTAGAAGAGCACTGACTTAGCTTCCAATGGGTAGGAGGAGTGTTCAAGACTAGAATGGCTGAAAGGAAAGGAATAAGAAGCTGTGATGAAGAGTTGGGAGGAGACCCACCAAATGGCTGTCCACCAGAGTGAGTGGTAAAGAATCACTGAAGCCCTGGAAGCCCTGCATACCACCTAGGAACTGATCAAGTTTAGGGAAAGATAGGAGGTCACAGGAAAACAGACCTCATTCCTTCCAGTGAAATGTTTGTGCCAAAAAAACTGTGATAGTTTCCAAATTTAATAAGTGAACATCATCCCAGTCAAAACAATCAACAATCACAATTATTTTCAATTGTTTATCACAGATTCTCCACAGACAGAATCAAACTTGGCAAATCTTACCTGGGCTGCTGACTACAGGAATTTTCTTAGTATCAGTATCCTGGTATCGTGCTTTGATCATCTTGTCTTTTGCTGGTAAGTTTACCCAGAGCTGAAAACCCTCTGATTTTCCACCTCTCTTCAAAAATTCATCTGACGGCATTTCACTGTGAACAACACCGGACCCTGCCGTCATCCACTGAACCCAGCCTTCTTTTAAAACACCACTGTTTCCAGCACTGTCTTGGTGTTTTATCTCACCTAGAAAAAAACAAGATAAGAGAGTTAGATGGCTTCAGACAGAGTAATCAAAGATCATTCAGTTGTTTTGCAGTTTTCACATATTGCGTACTTATATCTGTCCAAACAAATAAACTGGGGAAAATTGGATCACCTTTAACTTTACTGTATGAGGAAGAAAATACACTTCTGACAAATCCCTGATATTCCAGATTTAGAATAAGAATTGCCTATGTCAAAAGTTAATGCAAGAATGGCGACTTGTCGGTTTTCAAAGAAATTTTGAGTGGTGGTGGGCACTTGTATGCATTACGGACCTATGTTTCGGATGTTTAAACAAATGTCAACAAAAACCGTTTCGTCAAAGAAAACAACCTCTCACCTTTCAAACTTTGGTAGATAACAGTTTTCTAGGAGGAGCCTTAAACTAAAAAAAAAAATAGATCTCGAAGATACAAATTATATTTTAAAGTAAACCTTTGCGCTTCTGTGAATTGCTTTTTGAACCAGTCAACCTGAATTTAATACTTCAATCAAAATATTAAAAACTACTTTTTTGCCACAAACTTGCGATCGAAAAGAGCATTTTATGGTATTTTTCTTTTTAAAGGAAGATGTGAAAGTTATTCCTGTTAATTTTGGTTGCCAAGTTGCAAGTTGTGACACAAATCGAATTTACACGTTCCGGTCACGCGACAATTTCGACCGGTCTTTAAAAAGTGTCAGGTTATGGCTTACCATCAATAAGATATGAAACGGTCTCGAATCCTCGATGAGGGTGATCAGGTGCCCCAACAGCCTCTCCTGGTCCATAAACTACCGGTCCTAAATGATCCAACATCAAGAACGGGTCGCACTGATCGATGCGGTCCCCGATGGGTCTACGAACTAAAAATCCACCGCCTTCTCTCATCTGCCGGGACTTTTCGATACGATCTACACCTCGAGCCACAACCATTTTCTTTCGTGTATCAAAATCTCTGTGGTACACTTGTAGACTTTTACGCCTGTTTTTCTTCTTCTGAGTTCAGTACACTTGTCGCACCTTCGTGTTGTTTATATGCCAGCTGGCCTTGACCCGGGATGCATTGCGCGCCGAGAATGACTTGGCGAATATTTTGCGGTGTCACGCTTACTTATCGGGGAGGGGCATTGCAGAAGATTGCCGACATGACTGAAAACTGTCCGAAATGTGAGCACGTGATGGAGGAGTACTTGCGTGGGACGCGTCATTTCCTGCTAACAATTACTATGCCGAAAACCAGCCTTAAAATTGTTTATTTCTTCCGCTCTCTCATCTCCCACGTCATACATTCGTTCTACTAGCTACCCAGCGTAAAAAAACAATTCTTCACTTTTTCGACCCTTTTTCTAGCCTGAATTTCAGGCATCTATTAGGTTCGCACACTGCAATTCGGACTACTCTTTTTCTTCTGCTAGCACTCTTCCTTGAAAGCAGGTAAATTTTGTTTGATTTTTCGTTCAGGCGAATGAAATCAGACAAAACATCCGTCAATTATTCTATTTTACGCTCGGATAAGTTTTGACTCCGAAGAGTGCTCCGTCTCTAGTGTTAAATGTTAAAGAGAAGTTAGGAAAACATTACCCCTGGGTTGGGTTTATTATATTATTGTTATTATTATTAAAGATTCGCACAGCTATTGATGATATTGAAGCTGGTTTCGTCATTGGCTCCGGGCAACAACAAGTTGCTTA